AATGATCTTCAAGTCTACTTTAAAATATTTTTGGCCACTTTTAGATAAATTTTTCAAAGCTTTATTACTTTTTTGAGTTCAGGCGTTATTTGGAGAGGGGAGTTTCCAAAACTAATGAAATAACGTTGCTTATTTAAAAAAAAAAAATCTGTGAGGCAGATTAGTTTCAAATTATGGTTTGGCTTCTACCTCTCGATGTCATGTGCCAACGGCTTTTCTTCCTGAAACTCTTGCATTCTCTGGAAGATGTGGAGGTAATACCTACCTCGTAGGGTTTCCATTAGAAACGATTGAGGTAATGTATGTGATAGGTTACACAGTCCTTTGCAAATTTCCAGTAATATATTTAAAAACTCTAGAACAGTGTTGAGAGAGAGTGATGGTTTCCCGGTAGGGGGCTGCTGTGCACACCTGGGGTCCTGGCCCTACTAAATCAAATTTTGCATATGAAAAGTTAAGGGCAGAGTATCCATCCACCAAGAAAAAAATAATCCTAATTATTTCTTTGGATGGCACAGTTACACAAAGAAAAATTCCACATTGGCTGTGCAAAGATGAGGCCTTCCACAGTATCTGCCCACCACCACCATTCTTGGAGGGACCCCGAATCCCACCTAGGGGCCCCCTGCAACTTGGGCTGCTCCTACCCTTTGGACCCACCAGACCTTTATTCTGAAGCATCCCAGCCACAAGGCCAAAGTTGGAAGAGCCCAGAGGAGGACAATGCCCCAGAACCTTCTCCCTTTAGACCCTGACCCCAGCAACAACTGGGTGGGGGATGATGCCAGACTGTGTTGTTGACTAGGTCGATTGCAGCACAGCTACTGAGGCAGCCTCTGCCCAGGGAGCTGACGAAGATTATTCAAAGGAATATTAGAAATAGATACTAAAAATAAATAAATCATAAGTAAATACGAAAATGGCAATGCACAAAGGCGTAAAAAAAGGAGATTAATGAGCACTGGAAAGATGTCAGAAACCAATAAAAATATAACTTTATGAAATGAGGGGACAGATATGAAAGTAAGACTACTCCACATACTTCTCATATTACTTTGACTTTTGAAGCATGCAGGTGTTTGGGGCACCTGGTGCCTTAGTTGCTTAAGCGTGTGAATCTTGGTTTTCAGCTCAGATCATACTCTCTGGGTGGTTAAATTGGGTCCCACATCAGGATGGTGCTTGGCGTGGAGTCTACTTGAGTTTCTCTTTCTCTCTCTCTGACCCTCCCTCCTTTCTCTCTCTCTGAAATAAATAAATAAAATCTTTTAAAAAATGTAAATGTTTTTAATATATTTTTTAAAAAGTTGAGCTTAAAAGAGAAAGAAGTGAAATCTAAAATCGAAAAAAATACTAATGCAAATAAGTGTAAAACTCTATTAATTTGGTAAGTGAACCAATCAAAGGTAAGGATTATTTCAAGTCATTTTTAAAAAAGATTTTATGTATTTATTTGACAAAGAGAGGGAGATCACAAGTAGACAGAGAGACAGGCAGAAAGAGAGGGGGAAGCAGGCTCCCTGCTGAGTAGAGAGGCCCATGGTGGACTCCATCCCAGGACGCTGGGATCATGACCTGAGCCTAAGGCAGAGGCTTAACCCACTGAGACTCCCAGGCACCCCTATTTCAAGTCATTTTTGAGGAGAGTACTTAAACTCAAGAGTCAAACCTCCTGGGACAAAATAAATGCAAAGGCATTTTAACCTTCATTCAGTAGTTTAACTGCTAATAGTAATGTTTGCATTATTATTTTTAAAAATATTGAAATATAAGAATATGTGAATAAAGAGACAAGACAGAAAATGTATTTAAAAGTTTCTTATCCCTGCATTATTTATAACACTGAATTGTAAGATCCAATAGGAGCCAATGAATTTTAAATTTCATTTCTACTTCAGATTTCTCACAAGCAAAAAGATATTTAAAGACATTTCAATAGTATTGAACATTGCCATGTAGTACCAATAATACAGTTCTTGTGTTTTAAACACTATTTCCCAATTAAAGAATCAGACCTTTTTGAAAAGCTGTATGATTATGGATATTGGTCAGGGAGGTATACACTGAGCCTACAGCATTGTGTTGTGCTAAAAAGAAAAGACTAGTGTGTATAACAAAGCAATCAGGACGAGGTTCAAGAGGCACTCACTAGCCACATTTGGGATAATTTGAGCTTCAAAGAATAATGACTATAATTATTTGTGACAAATTGAATAAATAAGAATTCCATGATGATAGATGTTGGGAAAAAAAAAGAAAAAAATCTTTAAAGCCATCACTGGTCACTATCATCAAGTTCTTACTCTAAATATTGGAAATTAAAGAGCATAAATTAGCACCCATCTTCACACAAGAATGACAATTAGTAAGTACAGAAAAAGAATAGAATTCATTTTAAAAATCACTGTTTTGTAGCCAACAATGAAAACGATTAATTATATGCTATATTGATTACAGATTAAGTGTCATAAATAGATCCACAAGCATTAGGTGAAAAGTTTTGGAGAAATAGTATATATATACCAATATTAACAGCAAAGATAACTTGCCAATTGTAACAATGTTCCTTTCAATGTGAGAAAACTGGCTGTTGCTTGTGTTTCAGATTTAGATAAATTGACTCCATTGGAGACAGCCAGTTTCTTTTTTTTTTTTAATTTTTTATTTTTTCAGCGTAACAGTATTCATTATTTTTGCACCACACCCAGTGCTCCATGCAATCCATGCCCTCTACAATACCCACCACCTGGATCCCCCAACCTCCCACCCCCGCCCCTTCAAAACCCTCAGATTGTTTTTCAGAGTCCATAGTCTCTCATGGTTCACGTCCCCTTCCAATTTCCCTCAACTCCCTTCTCCTCTCCATCTCCCCTGAGACAGCCAGTTTCTTATTCTAAGAATGCCACTTGGTTTGATGCAAAATGAAGTAATAAGATATCACCTTAAAGTATTTTTACCTTAATTATATCTTTATTTTCATCTTAAAGTTTTCATGGTTTTGTAGAAGATAAAAATGTTCCCAGTCAACTGATTTCAACTAATTATGTTGTTTGAAATGTATGAACATAAAAATCATATTTCAGACTCTTGTGGTTGAATGATTCCAAAACCCCCTTGAGCAGCAAAATCATGAGGATGTCATTAGATTTGAAGATCATTATCAAAGAGGTCCTCCTAATTCTCCACATATACCATCTTACTTTTAATATATTCTTATTTTATTTTAATTTTAAAATGATTTATTTATATATTTAAGTAACCTCTACAGCCAATGTGGGGCTCAAACTTACGACCCTGAGATTGAGGGCATACTCCACTGGTTGAGCCAGCCAGGCACCCAAATAAAATAACCACCTTTATTGTAGTTCAAAGGTGATACAAAGATAGAAAACATGGAAAATACAGGTGAGCATTAAGGACTTAAACACCAACTCTTTTTTTTTTTAACTTTTACTTATTTTAAATTTCTTTTCAGTGTTCCAGAATTCATTGTTTATGTACCATACCCAGTGCTCCATGCAATAGGTGCCTTCCTTAATATCCACCACCAGGCTCACCCAACTCCCCACCCCACTCCCCTCCCAAATGCTCAGTTTGTTTCTCAGAGTCCACAGTCTCTCCCCCTTCTAGTTGCCCCAACTCCCTTCTCCTCTCCATCTCCCAATGTCCTCCATGTTATTACTTATGCTCCACAAATAAGCGAAACCATATGATAATTCTCTCTCTGCTTGACTTATTTCACTTAGCATAATCTCCTCCAGTCCCATCCATATTGATACAAAAGTTGGGTATTCATTCTTTCTGATGGAGGCATAATACTCCATAGTATATATGGACCATATCTTCTTTATCCATTCATCTGTTGAAGGGTATCTTGGCTCTTTCCATAGTTTAGTGACTGTGGCCATTGCTGCTATGAACATTCAGGTGCAGATGGCCTTTCTTTTCACTACATCAGTATCTTCGGGGTAAATACCCAGTAGTGCAATTACAGGGTCATAGGGAAGCTCTATTTTTAATTTCTTAAGGAATCTCCACACTGTTTTCCAAAAAGGCTGCACCAACTTGCGTTCCCACCAACAGTGGAAGAGGGTTCCCCTTTCTCCACATCCTATCCAACACATGTTGTTTACTGTCTTGTTAATTCTGGCCATTCTAACTGTGTAAGGTGGTATCTCAGTGTGGTTTTGATTTGAATCTCCCTGATGGCTAGTGATGATGAACATTTTTTCATGTGTCTGACAGCCATCTGTATGTCTTCTTTGGAGAAGTGTCTGTTCATGTCTTCTGCCCATTTTTTGACATGATTATCTGTTTTGTGTGTGTTGAGTTTGAGGAATTCTTTATAGATCTTGGACATCAGTCCTTTGTCTGTACTGTCACTTGCCAATATTTTCTCCCATTCCGTGGTTAACCACCAACTCTTACCACTAACATTTCTGAATTCAACTATAATTATTATAAATATTTTATTGTACTTCCTGACAATCTTTGTTCTATAAACATTTATGCGGGATCAAATTATACTCTGTGTGTGTGTGTGTGTGTGTGTGTGTGTTTATACTTGATATAGGATTTTTTGGTCACTTTTCATGTTATAGTATGCCAGTTATGTACCCAATTAGATTCTAATTTCTCTTTATGATTTGTTCAAATTTTTATGTGTGCTAGATAGCCATCTTGTAGAAGATCTTGCATTTCATCATTTGGTAGATAAGCAAAAGTAGATAATAACTATTTACATCTTATTACTAGTGTAGGTATGACATAGTTAGGCCTTTATGTATTTTTGAAGTGAAATTACCTTAAAGATGGAGAAAAGCATTTTCTCCCATTTCCTCTGAACAGAGAGTCTCAGACAGTCCCAGAAGTTATGGAAGAAGCTTTGAAAAAGTTAGAGGGAAAGATGGATGGAAGTAGGCACCGGAGTGATTGAATCTAGTTTCTTGCTGTAAGTATTTTATGAGTAGGACACAAAGCATTTTGGTTGGCCAGGTTTTAATGAGGTGCTTTTAAGAAGTGATTTATTCCTCCCTCTGATTATCATCACATCATGCATATAATATTCAATACAAATTCTGATTTATGAATATAAATGAGTTACACAATACTTGAAAAATAAACTGAGAATTGGATTGATAATGAAAAATTCTGAGTAAACGTACGTATTTTAATTTTAGGACTGCATCTTAATCATTGTTTTATCCACATTCAGGATATAACAGTTTCCCATCATGACACGTGGCTCGGAATGTATGTGCTGGTGTCTTTTTATGATATCTATAGAGACAGTCAAATTCAATCACATCCCCTGTTCGAGAATATATTTTTGTTTCATAAGACCATCGAAATTGTATATTATGTCTTCTCATGATTTCTTCTGATACTGTACAGGGCTCTAATATAAAAAAAAAGGAACAAAAACATTGAAAACAGAATTTCAGACTTTCAAGTAGAATCTTCTTCACTGGTCCAGGGCTTCATTTTCAAAACCTTTTTCAAACCAATTCATTGAAAGACCATCGAGTCCATTTTAATCACTTTAAATGATTAATGATGTAAAATGAGGTACTATGTTTAAGCTGTGATAATTAAATATTGTAATCAAAGATTCATAGTATCATTTTTAAAATGAAGAAATCAAGTTCTTTATTTAAAGGATCTTTTGCTTGAATAACAGGTTTTTTTTCAACTTTATTTCATTACACATTAGTATTTGGTAGTCAGCATTCAACGAATGTTTGTTAACTCATGACAAGTCTATTAATAACAGCAAAGCATCTATTATACTGATTTTCCCAGGATCCATGAGAATAGTGAAATATTTACCTAAGCATCTTGGTGGTGGTGATGACCACTTTCCATTTCTGCATGTTATGGTCTGGGGTCCCTGAAGTACATAGAGGATCTGACATTGGTACTCTACTGACGATCCCGGTGCATATGCCGCTAGTGGGAATGAGGTAATGTCTCCATTGTCAATAGATGGAGGAGACGCACATTTTCTAGTAGGTTCTAAAAAAATATTTGATTTATTGAAAGACCAAAGAAAAACAGGTTAAAATAAAGGAAATAAAAAAGCAATATCAAGACTTGTGATTTCCGCTGACAGAAATGATTCATTTAAGAAATTTTATTTTATTTTTGAAAAAAGGTTTTATTTATTTATTGAGAGAGAGAGAGAGTGAGAGTCAGGGAGACAGAGAGAGCAGAAGCCAAGTAGGGCGAGGCAGGGAGCCTCCCTGGGCAGGGAGCCTGATGTGGGGCTCCATCCCAGGACCCCAAGATTATGACCTGAGTAGAAGGCATACACTTAAACAAAAAACAATGGTTAAGATGCAGTCCTAACCTTAAGATATATCACATTACATATGTTATAAAAATATGTAACATTAAAATAACCAACTGAGCCACCCAGGTACCCCCACTGAAGAAATTTTAAACACTTAAACTGAGAATCACACTTCTAAACCTTTCCTTTTATGCCACATAAAAGCATACATAAAGCATGAACATATATGTCTGCTTTACCATATTCTGATGTTAAAAAGTGTTTTTCCTACTGAATCAATACTGGGCAGATGGATAGGTAATAGAAACAAAGAAACTTTCTTGTTACATACAACATACTGCAGTTTCTATTGGATCTCTAGTCATTGTTTATTGATTGTCATTTCTATTACAAAAGGAA